CTGGTGTTAGTTTTAGCAAGAAGTTAGTAGGGATGAAGAACGGAGCGGAAGATTGTGCACTAAGCTATGGCGGAGCAGAAAAGGGGAACGACAGAAGTACGGAGGAGCAAAGAAACGGAGTTTCGGCCTGATCCGTGATGGAATCAGGCGAACTAAGGAGCAAGACAGGAGGGTTGAAAGATCGCAAATCCGAACGTACGATCAGAGATTGAGGAAGGGTGGCGGACGCTGCGATGTGAGAGCTACGAGCCGCGCAGGAAATGGCAGGAGTGGATATGGCAGGTTTTGGAAAACAGAGTTTTCACTCGATTTTTGCGTTGAATCGAGCAGAATAAGAGGAAAGTCTGAGGTTCTCCGGCCGGGCGAATCGAGTAATGAGATTAGATTTAGAAAGGAGTTAGCAGGGTAGAAGTCGGCAAAGAAAGCTAGTGCGTGGGATATGGCGGGAGAGGAGACGACAGGAAGCGGAGATTCGAGATTTCACTCGAATCTTGTTGGAATGGGGTGGAGAAAGAGGATGAGTCAGGGTTTTTGACCAGTGCGAACACGATGGCTTCGATAGATCTTGGAATAAGACTTTAGATTTAGCGGCGCCGTAGTTTGGGATCACACTTGGTATATTGGGTTTTTTGCAAATGAACCTGGTCGTGGTGCTGGCCAGGTACGCTCACCTCTAAGAACGACTACTTATGGGGCAAGAGTGGTACGACGGAGGTAACACTTTCAAGCGCAACAACAGGGGCCGATTGCCGACTTAGATACTTACCTGCCGACTGCGGACTGCTTACCTCAACTGGCCAATGGAGTGTGGGAGGACAGTCGAGGAGGTTGGGGACTTACCTATTGGCCGGTGCGTTGCTCAGCAGGTAGGTGGTGGCGGTCCCTCCCAAGGAAGGCAGCAGACATAGGGATGGGGTAAGTGGATACTTATCCGACGAGCGGCACAACTGTGGTCACGAAGGCAGGTGATAGACCAGGAATCGAGTGGGAGAGCAGGCGTGGTTTAACTAAGATACCTACATGCCACGGAAGGCCGAAGATGTGGGACGACCGGGAAGTGAGACTGCGAGAGCAGTGAGCCGTAATCGCCTGATTCGGCGACGTCGTCTCTTTCGGGCCAGGGTAATGCCCATTCCGAGGAGTGAAGGAGAAGGGAAGCGCGCAGCAGAGCCGGAAGACTTACCTACTGTCTGTTGTGTTGCTCGACCGCTGAACGGGGGAGATGTAGGAAAATTGTGAGTGGGGAGCCAACCTGTAGCCGGTACACTGCCCATCCTACCGACTCAGGTAGCATGAGTCTGGGCATGAGGTTGGAGGCCTGCATGATGGCCAGCGCGTGGCTCATCTTAACGTTTGGAGTATGTGAGGCCGCCTGGAAGGAGAGATGCACAGAGCAACGGGAGATGCATGCGCCAGGGAGAGAGAGAGGGCGTACCTAGTCTTGGAATTGCTGATTATCAGGAAGCCAACAGGAGGTTGTGTTGGTCACCAGGGGCGTGGAGCAGTTTGCTGATTAAAATCGGCGCATGTATTGATAGTTATACATGTTGTTGAACATCATAGGATATGGGTCGTTGAGCACACTTGGGGATTACTGCATATGGCACTTGCATACTATTGCGCGGATTGGCTACCACATTCGGTTGGGGTGCGCATGACACAGTGTTAGGGGTGACTACGATTGCTGAGCTAGGACGTATTGCTGCAAGCCCCAAAAATTGTCAGGAGGTCAGCAATAGACGATTTAAGTTTGTTTGACCAAGTTGCTACACATTCAGGCTGCCATTGCGGGGCCCTCAGGCGAGTGAAGGTATCAAGGCCCTCTCCTGAGAGTTGAGTCAGTCTCCCTCTTGTATCTCGAGAGTCTCAAACCCCTCCTTCTGCCCGTCTTACTCTAAGTCTAGTCCTGTTATGAGAGGAAGGCGGCAGGCGGGATTGCAACCCGTAGGACCGCAGCAAGACTCTGTGGGGAGTCAGCCCACCGATTGCGGGAGCTCTGCCGGAACTCAGGAGGAGTTCTGGAGGCAGGGAACTGAGAGGTAACCACCCATCTCCCTCTATAAACCCAGATTATAGCCCCTATCTGTACTCCTTGTTATGTTTTGACTTAGTATACTGTGTGCACCCCTACTTTGACTTTCAGTTTGACTTTCAGGACACAACCCAGACTAAGTAAAGGAATGTATGCTCAATGTCAGTTTCAGTTTAATTGTCTGACTGAAAGCACCTTGTGGGATTGCATCTGGGGGGAAGGATGGGAGAAAGGTTGTATTGCATGAAGATTGACTGGGTCAACCAAAGTCTGGGCCAGTTCCATAAGTTTGGGAAGGCCCAGTGCTATGTTTATTTTGAATTGCCTGGAGAACCAGACATGTTCCATAAGTTTGGGTGGTCTGGTTGCTCTGACTTGTGAGGGCTGATTGTGAATGGCTCTTCAGGGACCAAGCACGTTCCATAAGTTTGGGTGGCTTGGTCGCATTGTTTACTTTGGGTTTCCTTTAGTTTCTTTCTGTTTTTGGCTTTGAGAGAAATGAACCAGGCTGAGGACCAAGACATGTTCCATAAGTTTGGGTGGTCTTGGTCCAACGCCTCGCACATGCTTGAACCAAAAGGTTATAATTTGGCTATATTTTATTACTATACTACTTATGAACAGGCTAGTGAGACAGGGTTCCATAAGTTTGGGTGGTCTGACTATAGCTTATCGCCAACTGAAGAGAGTACTAATTAAGAATAAACTTCTGGTACGAAGGGGCAGACAGAGTCTTGAGCTGAAGATGATCGGCTCAGTTATATGCTACCTCAAAAGACTAAGTGCAGATAATTATATAAATTTTGGATATTTAAACAGTTCAAGGCGACTAGGGTGGCCTAGTCACATGCCCAAGGAAGAAAAAAGTTGTTGTGCCCTGTGTTTGTGTATACTCCATGGCTGAGCTAGACATGTTCCATAAGTTTGGGTGGTCTAGCTTTATGCCTTATGTAAGCTGGGTATAAAGGGATAAATCAGTGAAAGACTACGAACTATTGTTTGTCCAGGTTGACTTGGGGATGGTGAGAGTACTTACCTTGTGGTTTGGCTTGCATGTGGCTGAGTGAGATAACTACTTAGTCTGAGTTTCAGTTTGATAGGTAGTTGCTTTAGTTGCTTGCCACGTGCTAGAGCCCTAGGAACTAGTTTCAATTCCTGCATTTTCTGAGCTAAGTTTTTTACTTAGATTAATTTCTGCATTTTTTGGGATCTTTTGTTATACTTGGCCTTGTATAAATCTTTGTAAGCCACTTTCTCTACGGGAAGCACTGCCGAAATTTCTACAAAACCAACGAGTTAGTCAGACTTTGTTTTTTTCAGGGTCTAACTTTTCTGACTTTTTGGCTTAGTAAAAATCTGAAACATCTCTTTTTATAAAGGGAGTGCTGCCCAATTTTTTGCTAATTCAGGGAGTTAGACAAAATTAGACCTTGAAAAGTGGAAGTCACTTTAGATTCTGAACTTAGCTTTGTATAAATCTTGGAATAACACTTTCTCTACGGGAAGCGCTGCCGAAATTTCCTTAATTTAAAGGAATTAGGTTATATTTTGACAGGTGGCGATTCTGGCGATCCACTCTGTATAGAGGAGATTCTGCCAGGGTCTACCTTTCTTTTGGCATTTGCTTAGAGGTAGACTTAGGCTTAGTTAATTAAGATGATTTGAGTGAGATCGTGATATGGGGATTATTCTTCATGGACTTATAGATTTAGCTTGGGGGATTGACCTGTCGTGTGTTACAGGTCTTCTTGATCGATTGATTCAGGATCTGAGATAGATTCAGCTTGATCCTACGAGGATCATCTTCTGCTATCACTGATAACAGGTCGGTTGTCGATTCATCGGTTTACGATTCAACTCCAATTCACTCCTGCCACTCGACCTAAAGGTTTGAGCCTTGTGATTTGAATTGTTTTGTTGTGTTTTCACCCGGACTTTATTTGAATGGCCATTTAAAGAAAAGTGCCGAGTATTTTATTTTGAGAGTTGCACAAAGAGTGAGCCTTGCATGGCTAAAGCGAGGGGTGTGAGTGCAGACAATGGTTGAAGTTGACCCCGTGTAGTGCTTGGATCTGTTGGTTGAATCTTTGATGTGATTGCAGGTATGTTTGGTGATTCAGACTTTGGATTTGACTGTCTGCGCCCACCTGCATATATATATATATATATATATGGCTGAGAGGAGGCCAATTGTGACTGTGAGAAGTGATCGTCCTATATTAATAACCCTCAATATACGTAAATATATATGCCTCGAGTGTTTCGCGCGGCCTACTGGGACCACGCGTAAGGGTTAAACAGATCGTGTGTTTAAGAGAAGAGGGAGATCCCCTGTTATCCTTTGCCTTTTAGATTTTTATGGTTGGACGTTGTAGTCCGTGGCAGCCGTCAAAGTCAAACCCCTTGACTTCTTTCGAGACCCTAGGTAAAGAAGCTGGTCTCCAAGGTCGTAAGAGAGGATTGCCACCACAGGTATGAACCTGTGTACCACCACAGGTATGAACCTGTGTACCACCCACTCTCCGCACTTGTCTAACATCGAGAGATTAACCCTCAAGGCGCATGTCAACCGACACTTAAGTGTCGAATGCGGCCCTCGAGATTAACGAGCACCGCATGAGTATGGGTAGTACATAGTACGCCATCATTGCGATCGCTTGCGTACGCTTGCATTGCGAATCGATATGAGTTAGCCCTGCGTTCGCACGGTTTTATACAAAGTCTCGCGCGCGACGCCTATCCGGTTTCCGCATCGAAAAGTTATGGGATGACTACTAAGGGATTAGAAGTGTTGTCTCGTTGTTTGTTCAATGTCGTTCTGTATATGTATATGTATACGTATGTGTGTGTGTGTTTTTATTTTTATGTTCTTTATAGTGGTGTGCGCGTGGTGTGTGGGATGCGTCCTAGTCGACCGACGACGGGTCAGTCTAGGCTTGAAAGTTCGTAGCAGACTGTTAGGGCTCACCCCTGTGGCGCTGTACACAACGTTGTTGTACAAGCTGGCGATGAGAGCAAGCTTCTCATCCCAGTCCACCTGGTTGGGCTTGATGTAATGCCGCAGCAGGTGTTGTACAACGCGATTCAGTTGCTCTGCTTGGTCGTTGGCCTCTCGGTGATTCCCAGAGGTCATTTGCAGCTGTGTTCCCTGTTCTGCAGCTGCAGCCTTCCACAACTCGCTAGTGAATCTAACATCCCGGTCACTCACGATAGACTTTGGTAATCCAAAATCTCTGACCCAGTTCTCCTTGAATAGTCTAAAGACGTACTCAGTCTTTGCTGTTTCCGACATTTCAACTAACCTAGCATACTTACTAAACCTATCCACAATGACAAAGATGTGTCTCATTCCATTTTTTATGGTGACCAGTGTGTCCATGAAGTCCATGGACAGGCTCTCACCGGGCCTTTAAGGAGTCCAAGAGGGGCCTATGTACGGGGCTTGTCTCTTTGACAGACCTGACAAGTCTCCACGTACAGCTTGGCATCTCTCATCATCGTAGGTCACTAGATCCGCTGCAGCAGATTGGCTGCAGTCTTCTTGAAGCCAAAATGTCCGGTGGCATCATGACACTCACCTAAAAATAAACTACGCAAAGACTCTCTATTGGGAACACACAAGCGTTTATTCCTGGCCTTCTCAAGGAACAGCATACCGTTGACCAACTCAAACTCGGCAGAAGTTATTTTGTCCTTCGCCTCGAGTCTGCGAATGATCTCGGACATGAACTGATCCTCGCAGTAGGCTTCCACCATAGAGTGAGTAACATCGTTCGCAAGCCCAAACTCAGTGATCAGCGCACCGAGAAATCTGGTCTACGCGACAGCGCGTCAATAACCTTGTTGTTCTCGCCCTTGATGTACTGGGGCTCAAAGTCATACTGCTCTATGACTTCAATCCAACGCTTCAGAGCGTCGGAGAGCACAGGCTGGGTTCTCATCCACTTCATTTGTCCTGACGTAAAAGAACCTCCCAAGGAGAGAGTGCCTCCAATGGTTGAGCACCTTGTAGATCGCATAGAGCTCCTTCTCATAGGTGGATTTGGCCAACTTCTGAGAGGGCATCTTTTTGGACATGTACTCTACTGGCCTCAACTTCTTCCCCTCCTGCTGCGCAAGTACGGCGCCTATGCCATATTGGCTAACATTCGTAGTTACTACGAAAGGTTTGTCAGGATTAGGAAGTTTCAAGACCTCATGGTGTGTCAACGCATGCTTCAACTGTCTGAAAGCAGCCCCACACCTGTCTGTCCACTCCCATGGGGTGTCAAGGCGAGTCAGGTCCGTCAAGGGGGCGGCCACTATGCTATACTTCTGAACAAAATTGCGGTAGTAGCCTGTCATCCCTAAGAAGGACCTCATCTCAGTCATAGACTGAGGACGTGGCCAGTCACGAATGCTGGCCACCTTCGCGTCATCGGGCTTCAAACCCTCCGCGAAAATCTCATGACCCAAGTACCAGATACGGGTGCGGCCAAACTCACACTTCTCCCCGTTTATCTTGAACTTGTGTTGTCGAAGGAGACCGAGGACTTTGTCTAAGTGCGCTACATGCTCCTCGACAGTCCTACTAAAAATAAGTATGTCATCAAGGTACATGATGCCAAACTTATCCAAGTAGTCATGAAATATTAGATTCATAGTGTGCTGAAAGGTGCCAGGAGCATTGCATAAGCTGAAAGGCATCACCACAAACTCGTACAGACCGTACCTGGTCTGAAATGCGATTGTCTTGATCCTCGGGCCGGATTGCAATCTGATGGTACCTGGACTTCAGATCTATCTGACTGAAGTACCAGCACCCTTGCACTCTATCTAGCAAGTCGTCAATGCGTGGTAGGGTCTCTCTGTTCTTGACAGTGATGGCATTGAGGCCCCTATAGTCAATGCACATCCTCAGTGTTCCCCCCTTCTTCGGTACGAATAGGACCGGAGATCCATAAGGAGAAACACTCGGCCGGATCCAACCCTTCTCTATGAGTTCCTTAAGCTCATCAAGCTCGCCTGGAGACATCAGATTGATCCTACCCTTTGGGATACTAGACCCTGGGATAATCTCTATTGCGTGGACGACCTCCCTCTCAACAACCCCTGTAGGCTCTTCAAATAGATCAGGATAATTGGCAACTACTCCCTCTATCTCCGGCGGCATTTTCACCGGCTCGCCTGCTGCAGAGACATAGACTAGATACATACCCTCCTCCGGATTTTGCTTATAATAATTATAGAACGCGGCCGCACACATGCATCTGTGGGACTCGATCAGACTACTAGCTTTAAACTTATGTAATTTGGCGGTCCCCCCACCTGGCAAAGTGTGTTTGACCACTTTTCGGTCCTAGTCAAACTGGGGTTGTGCCACGGAGAGGTAGTACATACCTAACAAGATATCCACAGGGAGATCATCGCTCACTAGGAATGAGACACAATGTCTCAATTCCCCTCCCGCATACGGGAAACAACACTCAACATCCTGGAGGTAGTCGTTGACTACCATGCGCTGTTTGTTGGCACAGGTCGACTCCACAGGTCGACTCAGGCGCTACACTTGCCCTTGTAAGCGCAGTCTCTCAACGCACGCGCGACTAATGAAGTTCCTAGTCGAGCAAGTGTCATAATAGGCCCTGGCCTTGGGGCCGCCGATGACTACCTCGCTGACAAACATCACTCCCTTAGGGGCTTTGGCCAATGCCGTCCAAGAAGCTAGTGGGTCTAATCTAGACAACTCCTCCTCTAGCTCCTCTAAGGATTCAAACACATTCATCGAACAAAGGCTCGATGGGTCAGAATGTGTTTGCAGGACGACGATGGAGTCAGTAGCTTGGGCCATCTCTCAAGATGGTGAGGGTGTGTCCACCACCTCGACCCTAGCATGAACAACTACCATTCCTACTGGCCCGGCGCGTTTCCCGGAGCAGTGCCAGAACTGCTGGCCACATTGCTACCAACGGGAGCGGAGGATCCCAATGCCTGCCCCATCGTAGGTGGGATCTTTTCGGTCACCTTCTTATTCCAGCACTTGAATTGGTTATGGCCATATTGGCCACAACGGATACAAGCTTGTCGTGTGTACCAATCTCTCCACACGTCCTCAGTGAGACCCGCTTTCTCCCATGGAGGAGCATTGAGGTCAACTTGACTCCTAGACCGGGAACCTCCACGGCGTCTACCGGTCGCCTTACCTTTTTGCGCTACGGCAGCAACTACTCCACCCCCTAAAGCTTCTACGCTACCGGCCTCTGAACCCACTCCCGACTGGAAGTCGTCGTCCAATTCGATGGTGGAACCATCGTTGTCGACGAACATGATGTGCCCCTTCGCCTTCCAGTTAGGAGGCAGTGTCTTTTTCCTACCATCCGTCGTGGGTGTTTGACCATGCCCTATCTTTGCTCCCAGGCCTAGGGCCTTCTTGCTAAACGACGGGAAGTTGTGCATGTTGATGTTGGCCTCACCTACCAACTGATTCCTGAGAGGCATGGGAAAGCATCTCAAGTAGGAGGTGAGTAAAACTGGGGGTCATAGCGAGCCCCAGGGACACAGATCAGACGCTCTACAACGTCAGTGGCCTCTCTCACTGACTTAAACTACCTCGTGTGCAGTGTCAGGATCGCGTCAGTAGCCTTTTGGGCCTCCTACGAATCATGCCACTTGTCTTGTAATCCAATTTTTGGGTGACCGCCCAAGCGCAAAAGTCATGACCATACCCTTGGAGCTACACTAAACCACTCAACCATCTTGCTTCACTCCCCTCTAGATAGGATGCAGCCACAAACACTTCCTCGTGCGGCAAGGTAAGTTTGCACTTAACATAGACTGGCACTGCCCTCAACCATGTGTCGAGGTCTTCGCCCCTCTTATCCCCTGAAAAGGGTTTAGGAGCGGTGATGGTTGTCTTTGGAACCCACTGACTTTGTCCCGGTACCTGTACCATTCCGGACGGTGGACCCTGTGGTGCAGGCTGTTGCACTATCTGCTGGGGCTGTGAACCCTGCGGCTGTGCAGGCTGCGAGAGAGCAGGCTGCCCGCTTATAGCAACCTGTGACGGAGGTTGGGAGAACACTGTCTGTACAGGAATCTGTAAACTAGGACCTGTTGAGAACCCGCCTGTTAAAGGCATACCCAGGGAGACAGGCTGAACCGATGCTGGAGCGGTATATGGGGATACCCCAGTCACCGGTGGGATAAAAGGAGGAGGACGTACAACGGGCCAGACACCAGGCCCAGACATTGATGGTGCCGCCTGCGCTCGCCCGACGAACACGGCCAGATTCTGCTGGATGTCTTGTAAGATCACCGTCCGTTGATCTTGCATCTCTACTACTCCTAGCAAGACCGACCTCAGGGTCCTCACTTCATCATCCAACTCCGCTGAGTCCATCTCCTCTAACTCGCTAATATTCGCTTGTCGCCGCTGCAACCTGACTCTTCTTCTGATCATTCTTTCTTTTTCTGCCTTAATCTCTCCTAAAGCCTGCTGTAGCTGTGCCTCGCGATCAGCAACTTGCTGTATGGCGACCTCCTTGGGAGTCATCACTAACGGTTGGCTTGCCATTAAGCCAGTTGACTGACTTTGGGTCTGCGCGACCGTTGACCCTACAGATCCTGAACTACTAGCTTGGGAACTCTGCTGCGCAGACGTGGCCATGGCTGCTGAAGTTGCGGCTCCGCTTACGAACGCCCTGCTGGCCTCTGCTGCCCTAGCTCTCCTCTGCTGCTGCTGCCTCTCCCTAAGTTGGCGGAACAGAAATTTGTCACCCTCTGGTCCTTAGGCCAAGTGGGTTATCGGGCGTCTAGCTGATCGCAAGATCCAGTCGTCCTCACTAGTGATATCCCTATCGCTCATAAGCTACAGAACTGCACACCGTCTGCACTAGGACACTCAATCGATGCCTACCGCAGCAACATGTACAAACCGATTTATAATAAAATAAAAGTAATAATCGGTGGTTGTTTCAGAGAATGTACATTTAGGTCTAACAGGCAAGTTCAAATTCCTACAAACGAAAACTATTTTACTTTGACTAGTCAGCAAACAGAAGCACAAGGAACAAAAAACAGTTCTAACTAATGTTGTCTGTCGGATGTTAACGGTTGTACATCTAACTAATCAAAATAAAAATAGAATCGTTTGTTGGGTCTGTTTGCATAATGGGATCTTGCCCGAATTTATCACCTGGAATCTACCCCGCCCTCGATTCTTCTTGAATGTCTCTTGTCGTCAACGTCCCTGACCTATCCAGATAGCGTGCGTGTCTAAAGGTGTGCACACGGCCCACCACTGTGCCCCGAGTCCTGCTGAGCTGGCCAGCCCTGCACAGTATTTATTCTCTCGTGCAGCGAGCCTTACACCGACCAATTGGCTGATCAGGAGGCGTTTTTATGGACGGCCCCCGAAGTCCTCAGGAATTCTTTAACGTCGCAAACAGGACGACGATCACAACCAATGGAAGGTATCCCGCCGGTGCTTATTTATAGACGCCCGGTCTCGTCTGTCCCATAGGGCTGGCCTGCCCTTCAGAACCCCTCTACAGCGCAGCGAGCAGACAAAGAACAAAGCAGCAAAGCATGCGTGCTCTACTCCCGGTGGGTTGGCATGGTGACCGTGACCCAATGCTTCGTCCAGGGCCCTTCAAATAGCTCCGCCCTCTCCTTCCAAATGCTCCACGTGAAGCCTGACAACTCTCAAGGTTGAGCTCACACGACTCCTCACATGAGAGGACTCTCAAGATAGAACACACGTCCTCACGGTAAGAAGTGTCGAAGAGGGTAGATAAGGTTAGGTGCAACGTACCTCAAAATAGCTGCCCCCAACCACAAATATTCTCACTAGATGACCCGATGTTGATTGTGATGACGAAACGCTGCTTCGGCACAACCAGTATTGCACAACCGTTCCACCTCAGCATCAATCACACACCGGATAGTTCTCATCACACTGCGAACACCCAATAATCACCGCTTAGCCTTCCTGGCGTTCCCCTCTCCACCTGGGTCGCCTACTTATCTTCGCCCTCCTCACTACACACGTCCCACGACATGGTCGCTCACCGCACACACCGCGTGCATGTACCGCATTAGGCAGAAGATAAGCGCCAGATTAGCGCACCGAACCACAACTCCGATACCAAATTGCAAGGAAGATGAGCAATAGCAAACTTCAGGAATCAAACAACATCATTCACATGAGACCAGATAGTCGTCACCTCTAACCAAAAACAGAATTGCATCACGAGTTTCACCAAATAAGAGCACACCAAAAGCGCATAATTGACAATGCTGGAATAATCTCATCATCATCAATTGAGGAACCAATATTGATATCCTATCTAGCGCTCGGCGCCCAGACTACGAATGGCAGATCCTATCTAGCCTAGACTACAGTGCCGCTGATGACGTCAACAGCTTCCCAAGTACGAGCAGACCTCGGCCAATGCAGCACGCGTCAAGCACCAGGTACGTCTCTCGTATCACTCACAACCTCGTTCCCCAACTCACAGATGCCACTTGCACCCAAGGACCACCATGCGCCCCATCCAGCATACGACGGCGCAGCTCCGCTATGGCTGCCTGCTCCTTCCAGCTCGTCCGTGAGCGCGTGAGCCTGGAAGGCGATAGCGCAGCAGCGTTTGCGCACAAAGCAGCCAGTGCCCGAATGTCCAATGCGTGAGCAGGCCCTTCGCTATATCGATGTGGCCTGCTGCTGCGTGCTGTATTGCGGTACTGGGCCTCGGCACAGAAGCTTCCGGTAGGCCACAGGGAGGCTGAGCCTCTGTCCAAATAAAACACGCCAGGGCCTCCGACAGTTACCCGTCCCCAACTGCTCACAACCTGTGTTAGGTCCATCTTGCGTATCTCGCCCAGGGCCTGGCTTAGATACATTTGACAAAAGGAAGCCAGGGCCTGGGCGCCTTCAACGAACTAGCGCTGCCCAACTGCCTGAACTTCCCCAGTTGCGGGTTGACCCCAAAAATAGGCCTGTAGGCTTCGGTCGGGCCTGCCTTCACTTAGGGTGGCCGACTGTACTGGCAATGGGGCCCTGTAGGGGCGTATTGAGGCGTTGTGCCTCGCATAAATTCCTCAAAGATTTATGGGCATTTACCTCAGCTGACATAGAACACGCAGAAAGAAAAAAAATAAAAATGGCTGAAATTCAGTAGGCTTGGACAGAAGGGTCCAGGTGGACGTTTGGCCCGGTTGGCCGGTCAGGGGGGCCCCGTACGTCCGCCCTGGCTAAGTAGAAAAAAAAAAAATTTACGCGATTATTGTCACTGCGCCATATTTGTGTTAACTCGGTCCAAACCAGGGTGGTTGGCGTCCTGTTCAGGCCGAACGCACGAACGTTCGGGACACTCCCCCCCAACCACGTTCAGCCCGAACGTGAAATGTTTTTTTTTTTTTTTTTTTTTTTTTTTTTTTTTTTTTTTTTTTTTTTTTAGGTTTTTTTTTTTTTTTTGAATGTGTTGTGGAGGAAGGGTTCTTGGATTCCATATTTTTTCATAAAAAAGAAAAAAAAATTTGGGGAGGCAGTTTGCCTGCCGAACGGCAGGAAAACCTCCCGCCATTTGTGTGTGTGTGTGTGTGTGTGTGTGTGTGTGTGTGTGTGTGTGACACTGTGTGCAGGAAGGGGGGGACCCCTGCCCCACCAATCAATCAATCAATCAATCAATCAATCAATCACAAAAGAAAAAAGAAAAACAAAAAAACAGCACATCGAACGCGCACTGGTGCGTGTGTGTGCTTGTGCGCCGGGGGGCAGGGGGGGGGGGGCACACCTCCCCCACCAATCAACCAATCAACCAATCAACCAATCAATCAATCAATCAATCAATCAATCAAAAAAATGCAAGGGACCTGACTGTCCACAACTTGCCAGAGTGTATCTCATTGCATGCCAAGATATCATTCACACAGATTATGAAGCTTCACACAAAGCAAAGCCGAGATGGGATGAGAACCAAGGTAGTGCAGCTTATATTATCACAACAACATTATAAAGAGTATCTCGAGTTCAAGAATAAAGCGCCGAATAGTATCACAAGTCTCCCTCGTTCATCAACACCACAGGGGCCTGGCTCTGCCAGCGCCTCCTCCAGATGACAATGCAGCACGGAACAGGTAAGTATCCACCATAGCCAACTCAGGAACCTATCCCTCTCTCTCTCCTCTTGCTCTTCTCTCTCAAGATCCCTTGTCTTGGTCCTCTCGTCCCACCATGCATGCACACTCCTACTACGAGAATCTACTCTGAATGCTACTCACTGAAGACTACCTCTAACCCTTCTACATCTACTAACATGCTGGCRCARCTATGGCTGCTTCTGCCAGCCAGCGCCCAGCCCYTTCTCTCCTCTTGYGCAGCTTCTTCTGCCAGCGCTTCCCCARCATGCCAGCGCACAAGTGCTTTCAGCACTTCCACGCAACAATGCCACTGGAGAACTGTCGTGTGGGGAGGCTGGCCTGGTTTCTTATACTGCTGGCCTCCCTTCGCGAGGTCTGCATTGGCACACTTGGGTCTTCCCTGTCCCAGACCTCTGCAGTGTGTGTCCCAGTACCTTTTCCTTCAGGGTCTGCTGCTGCTCGGACCTTCAGGCCTGAATTTCGGACTTCTAACCTGTATCTAGACTTTCCCTTTGACTTGAATCTGAACTGGGACCTTACCCCTTTGACTTCTTCATAGAACAGACACACTTACTGCACGAACAGACACATCTACTGCACGAACAGACATGACTTGCACACCCTCTGGATGAACAGATGTGTCTCCCACAATTGAATACTGCAACTGTTCGTCCAGGGGCACAACCGTGACCTTTGACATGACTTTTGCTTTAGTTAGGATGTGACTTTTGACCCAGAGAACATGCCTTTTGATCTGCTTTTCACGAAATGGGCTCTGGCCGAGTGACCCCACTATGCTGCATTCGCTATTCAGGGTTTGAATCGGGTAAAGGCCCTTTTACTCTCGCCGGCCTAGTTTCGAAGTCCTCTGAGAAAAACCTTCATCTGTCTATTATGTTTATTCCTCTTCTTGCTCTTTCATAAGCAGATACAATATGAGGCGCAAACTCAATTAATTCTTCTCTTGTGAACCAGCGATCTTCACTCGGGTCTTGATATGCAAATCTTACTTTATATTGTCGTTGGGGTCTGCCTCTACGTCCAATTTGAAGAGTGCTTTCAACAACAATCTTGTCCACATCATATTTCTCATCCATACTAGGAGGTATCGCTGATCTGCGACTGGGAAATAACTCGTTCGTCACGCAAGGTAAGAGCTTTGAAGCGTGAAAAACTGGATATGTATGCAAATGCAGAGGAATCTCAATCACATAAGAAGGTCCATCCGCGTCTCCAATCACATCTAGAACTTGCCAAGGTCCTCTGTAGGCTGGTAGCAGTTTCTGGGATATGTTTTCCTCAGGAACGAATTCCTTCGATTTAACCCATACCAGATCACCTACAGCAAACTGAGAAGGTCTCCTGTGCTTGTTCGCCTGTTCTATCATCTGATGTTGTGCCTTCATTATATTTTCCTTCACTTTCTCAATGTCTTTCTGATATTGTATTGCAAATTCACTCGTTCCTAGTGGAAACTTATGTACTTGATCCGGGTTCAGACAATCGATAGGTCTGTGTGGACGCCATCCCAAATGTAACTCGTGGAGTCTTGCACGTAGATAGGTGACCAGAGTTATTATAAGCACTAGCAACTTTGGGCAAATGCTCATCCCAATCAATCTGGTCGGGACGTATGTACATGCGCAATGTTTGCTGCAAAATCTTGTTCATTTGCTCAGTTTGACCGTTTGTTTCGAGGTGTCTGCCTGAGGATATAGTCAATTTAGAGCCATAGACATTCATCAGTTGCTGCCATTGTTCACTTGTGAACCGCGAATCTCTATCACTTACAATCGTTAAGGGATGCCCATAATCCTTCACCCAATGGTTGAAGAATTTTCGGGTTACCAATTCTGTCTTTGCTTCCGCTGGTAATGCTACTAAAACAACATACTTACTAAACCTATCATTCCTGCTTTTTACCTTAGTGTGCATAAAGTCAATGGACACAGAGTCTCCTGGACCGGTTGGAATTGGCAAAGGCTTCAACAGACCGAGGGGAGGTTGAGTGGTGCTCTTATTTCTTTGGCACACTTGACAGCTCTGCACATATGCAATGCAATCGGGTTTCATGCGAGGCCAGGTGTAGGAACGTAACAGGCTTGCAGAAGTCTTTTTCCACCCGAAAATGGCCTTCAGTGTCATGGCACTCCCCCAAGATCAGACTTTTGATCTCCTCCTTATTAGGAATACAAAGCCTATCATGCACATTCGTTCTTTCAAATAACAGTCCTTGGGTAATACGATAGTCAGAAGACTCTTGAGGCGCTTCTTATATACGCTTAATCATAGCGCCATAAATAGGATCTGTGGAATACGCACTTTTAATCTTCTCTTGTAAATCGGTGCCCACATCTAGATATGTTACAATAGCACCAAAGAAGTAAGATCTTCGACTTAAAGCATCAGCAACAACATTATACTTCCCCTTTACTGGCTTTAGCTCAAAATCATACTGGTCAATTTCAGCTGCCCACCTAGTCAACTTAGGTGTCATCCGGGCCTGCGTTTTAAGCCAGCGAAGTGTCTCATGATCTGAGTACACTTTAAAGTGGCGTCCTAAGAGATAGTGTTGCCAATGATCCAGACCTTCTCGGAGAGCAAACAATTCTCTCTCATACGTAGAAGCGGCGACCTTCTCATTAGGCAGTCGTCGGGACATAAAACTCCACAGGCTTGTATCCATTCCCATCATCTTGTTGGAGTACAACGCCTATCCTGTACTGACTGGTGTCGGTTGTGACGACAAAGGGCAAAGAGGGATCAACAACTTTCAAAACAGGATAGTTGATTAGACATTTCTTTAGACGCTTGAATGAAGCCGTACAATCAGAGTCCCACTTCCAGATCGTTTCTTTCTTTAGCAATCTGCGACGGGGAGCAGCAATTATCGTGAAGTGTCTAACGAACTTCCGATAATAGTTGGCTAGCCCAACGAACGACCGCAACTCAGTCAAAGTGTGGGGCTTAGGCCAATCACGAATTGCTGCAATCTTTGAATAAATAGAAAAATAAAGTAAATAAATCAGAAAATGAGAAAAGAAGGTGGGAAAGAAGATATTTCGAATTTTTGAAAAAAAGAGAAAAGATAAATCAAAAGAGA